ACAAAGTGGTGGGCTCACGAACCAATTGAATCATATTAGTGTCCAGTGGAGGTGTAATCATTGGACCGGTTCTAACATTAATACTATTGCAATTTATTGCCCGCGATGGGGAGGCGCGTGCGTAGGGGCAATCATAGAGACTGCAGGGTGATACCGTTGCGTCGATTTGTACATACCAGCGACACACATGATATGATACCAATATTTCACGTTATTTTCAATTTATAAACAAAATATTAAGGGAACGTTGATATACAGCATAATACATATTATTTTTACAATAAAACTACAAATGAGGTTTAATAACCGCATTTTAGTGTTCAGCACAAATTGTAGTTAATATATGCTTTCTAATCTTGGCGATTACACGTATAGATTGTGAATATTATACATATTACTAGTTATACTATTATATACATTACTAGACCTCTATTTTCGAAATGCTAATACATAGCTAATATGACTCCAAAGAAACTTATTTTTCTACCGTTTATGATGCAACGGACGTAAGGACTCTGCCTCTGTCTGATGCATAAATAATCTTCAAGAATATAATTATAATAAAATTATAGTTTTACAAGTTTCTGAAATTTTCCGAATTTCCGTTTGAGACCAAATAGAATAGACCCTCAGGTATCATGTTAATTTGTACGAGTTACTTGATTAAATCCACTGTTTATAGGACTATAGGTATCATATGTTACTGCATAATTTTTCCTATTGCGCTGTGCCGCGGTGATCATCACGTCTTTCAAATACAAATTACCATACACAACACTCGATAAAGCAAGAGAACATTGAAATAACAATGAATGTTGTATCTGCACACCTATTTGCTGAACGTTAACAAGACAAAACGTTAAATTGGAAATAATGGAAAGACCTGAACACCGCTCGGACCTTAAATAGCTTAAAAAGCATATGGTGTGACTGAAAATTCTTGTAACCTATGATTTCTCTATCCAAAATTTTAAAATATGAATACGTGTACGAATATAGTTCAATGATAATATTAAGATAAGTGATCATCGGTTCAAATAATACCAATACAACAGGATCATTTAACCTGTTTTAAACCCAAATAGCTGGCCAGTGTTTTATCTGAGACAATAACAATACAAATGTTTGTCATGGTTATTATATCGTTCTTGGATTTAATACTGATTATTGAGTCATCATATTGATAAACTCTGTCAAATAGGAGCTCAACGGCGCAGTAGTTAGCGCGGTCAGTCTGTGATGCGAAGTTAAACGATTTTCATAAAAGCCGGTCTTAGGATGGGTGACCAAAATTTTACTATCTCGAACTCCTTCGTGCTGCAAGCTAAGCCGTTGGTCCTGACTGCATCTGTAGTCGTTATCACCCACTACTCTACTTTGGACCCGTGTGGTGGGTCATGTTCCAAGGGAAGACCTACGCTTTAGCAGTTAGAATATTAATAGCTGATGATGATGAATGTCTTCAATTATACCAATTTCAATTCTAGAAACGGTATAAAAGACCTTTGATGTTAATTAAAACGTTTTAGTTATTATCATTATTACGTATACGTTATTATTAATAGAACTAAATCCTTATTTTTTATACTTATAAGTGTTCATAGATATCAAAATAATTATTCAAAAATTCTTCCCTGATTTTAATAAAAATTAAATAGAATTGATAATATAATTGTTATCTTAATAATATTATATTAATACACTATTATACCTTGATATCTAAAACTGCCTTGTAGATCTGGTGCTCATTATAAAAATATATTATATCATAATCTGATTGGTACTAAGTATTAAATAGTCTATCATGAAGCTGCTTGTTTTTTATAGGCTAAAAAATATATGCATTGATGTATATTATACTAAAAAAATAATCAAATACACACTGATTCTTGCAGTTAATCCTTGTTATATTTGGTAAACTTTGCGTTCACAATATCGGTATTTATCTCATAAAAATACTTTAACAAATTCACTATACTCAGATCCGTCTCAGATACTTGGCTCTGGCGATTTCATAATGTATGTTTTTCCTTACTTTTAAAAATTCTGCAGGATCAACTGTAAAAGAATTTAAATTGCACGAAAATAATTCAAATAACTCTGCACTATGAAAAAAATCTCATTATAAAAAATCGCAACTCTAAAATAAAAGAGTAGATACAATTCACGAGTTTAATTTACAGCTGATTTTTATCTTGTTAATTTCCCACACTCGTCGTATTTCCGTTCATATTTTTTTGTTTCAACATTATTCGTCCTAATACAAATTGAATTAGCTACAAACAGTTAAAATGTTATTTGATACAGTCAATGGCAATTCTGTTAAACATAATTTTAAGGCGCTAATTATTGAAAGTTATCAAAAGCTTTTGGTATTAATGTAGCTGATACTAAATTTTATTTAGTAATAGCTTTAGTTTGTAACCTTGTGGTACAGAAATGTTTTGCTAAAACATTTTAAGCAAAACCCCGATTTCTGTATAAAAAATATTTTATAATACAAACTTAATATTTAAGTATTATTTCCTCTTTGAAATGAACCAAAAACAGGCTATCTTAACCGAGAACTTGATGCTGTAGTTGCCGGCGCGGAACCGGCCGACGCATCGGTCGTTGCGCAATAAACTCACGCGCTGACGCTCCAATGCACATTATAAATAAGCACCTTCTCATTGCCATATTCGCGTAGAACATTTCTACGTAAGATATAATGACATTTAACGTTAGAGTTATTTAAAAATATGTCACTTTTTGTTAAGTATTTTTAGTGATATTATAAATGACAAAATATCTACAGATTCTTATAAATTACTACATTGCCTGCATTTTCACTTCGCACTCATTACGTTTTTAATTAGACAGAAATATTGTTTCGAGATAAAAAGTGTCCTGTTTAACTTTTTCTGTGAATATAAAATTCTACTTATCAAAATTATTTTTAATGAACTATGATGATTGTAGTAACAAAACAAATATCTATAATTGAATCATCGGAAATTTCATATAATGACAAGTTTTATGAAGTAGATTTTCTTACAAAATCTAGTGCCACTTTTGTCTGGTATTTAATATTGTTTCATACAATAGTGGATAAAAAGACATTGAAAAATGTTTTATACGCACACACTCACAACTTTCGTAAGCATTCCTAGGTATCTAAAGAAAAAAACATTTGAATATAAAATTGGACACGCTTTTTCAGCACAAAAGTTTTTTAACGAAACCTTATCCCATAATAATAAATTACTAACGCAAAATCACTTCCATTTTTTATTGAAGTTAAAAAAGTAAACAGCGTCCATTTCGGTAGCGAGTTGCAGTTTTGTTTTATTTCTGTGGACGGATCAACTCCTTGGCACTTTACGGCATCGTTAGGTGCATACTTTAATAAAATTTTGATTTATGATCTCTAAAAGGATGGGTTTATTTTTTGGTGTTTATACTATAATTACGGGACAACAGTCAAGTTGAAACACAGTCTTGCTTCTATAAATTATGAAAAAAATATGTTTAGTACTGTTAAATTCCCTGTTTTTGTCCTACAAATCGACGACCACTTTACAAACGAGATAAATATCTTTGAAGCAGAAACTAATTTTCCAAAAATATTCATAGTCATTTTCTTAGAATTGAGTTTTGAGAATTTAAGCTGTAAGCATGTAAAACCAGGCATAATCTCTTCTGTGAAGATGTGCTTACGAATTCCTATTGTTAAGCACAAACAAGGCTTCACGGCTCATTTCATTTAGTTATTTGTCGCGTCGGTAAGTGAAATGTTATACCTGTTGAATATTACTGTTAAAAAAATTTGCAGAGTGCAAACGATAATTTAATAGAAATGACAATTTTATTTGTTTATTGTCATCACTTCCGTTATACACACAGCACTATCCATAAGTAGGAAGTTCCTTGTTGGAAAGTGATTGAAAACGTTTGAATGAGTTTCGTATCCGATGTATGTATTTTCAAAATACAAATTGTCAGATCCTTTCGCAAAAAATCTGTACTTGGAACATACAAATTTACAGTTGGTTGTATTAAGTATAAAAAAAATATTTTTGGTTATGATAAAATTCATAGAGATCGAAACGAAAGTGTTTGCTATCTTTTTGGGAAGAAGAGAACCGACACTGCGGCGGGCGTCAGTCTGATACCAAAGGAGCCGACATGTAATAAACATAACAATAAGTTTTGATTTCAACATGCAAACTGTTCACAAAGACTACAGTAAACTTTATTGTCTTTGGTTTATGAACATACTATTGTAAGGGTTTCTTGCCCAAACCATTGAAATACAATATTTTAAAGTTGTCTTATTTTGGGAATCCTTTTATTAGGAAGTTTTCCGACAACAGTAGAACTTTTCTTATGCACATAGCAAACCAAAAAATTACATAATGAATCAAATGAGTCAGTAACTTCGTAGATAGCGAAATTATTCGCATATTCCGAAAATGCCAAATTACTTAAATACCTACTGTGAAGAAAAGTGACCATCCGACGGCCTCGTATTACGTCTTATGGTAACGGGAATATTTGTACACATTTTCCGTCAACAAAATTAAAAAGAAACTAAAATTAATTCTCTTTGTGTTTTATGCGAATAATGTTACAAAAAAATACGACAATCTAATAGATTTTGTGTTTAAATAATGACGGGACGTCCATACACGATACAGCACTTTTACTGGAAATACAGGAATGTATACTTGTGTAAGTGCGGAGCGGTGCCTGCCGCAGGCATGCGCGGGCGCAGGGGCGGCGCGCCGGCAAGCGCGGGCGGGGGCGGACCTGTTCGGGCAACGGTGTCGCAGGCACCGCACACTACTCTCAGTCCTTTCGCAGCGGCCAACGGTACTGGATGTGCCGCTAGCTGCTCCGCAGAAAACAAACAACGTGAGGAATCATATCGTGCAGTGTGATACGATGCTGACTTGTGTTTTTTAAAAGACAGTGACAAAAACGAACAGGATCGAGTGTAGTGTTGACAACGCGTCAAAATGCCGAAGATATTTCTAATCAAGAAACGGCTGCATGAGCAGCAACTTGGGTTGCAGGAGGGTCTGGAATTGCTTGCCAGCAAGACAGATCCACTGTGCTCAGACTCCCCGCTTGACGATGGCCCCATCCCTCTCCTCATCAGAAAAGATAAAGACTGTTCCGGTAAGCTGCCTCTATATGCATACTCTATATTTCATCATGTTCTCATTTTATTTGCTAAGATTTCCTGTCTTCAACTAGGATAAACTTTGATCACATTACATATTTTAAACCTTTATAGTATCTTTTATCTAACTTCTTCTTAATCAATATCTTCGCTTTCCTCGTTGAGAGCATTACATTTAGCTGTTTACGCATCCCTGTTTATTTTTCCTGCATCGCCATTCCAAACGTAACGCTTGTTTTATTTTTTGTAAGTTCTACCATAACGGCCACTTGTCAAGCATAAAAAAGTTGATCGCACTTGGATACAATCCTGTTCTTGCCGGTCTGCCAACAAACGCCTACCTGAGACCGTTTGTGTGACTTGCGTGATCCTAATCCACCGTCTCTTTTGTTAAGAGATTTACATTAACGATAGAGGTTTCTTCAAACTTATGATTCGTGGAAATACTATCAATAATTTTATCAAAATATTCGGAGACGTAAATACTAACTCGAGTTATACTAAAAACGCTAATTATAATTACTATAACATTGTAAACAATCGTTGTGTAGCGACGGTCAGTACTCATTTTAACGGTTCAAGTGCTTAGGTAGTTACTAGTGTGAATCACTGTTATAACTGTCATGTTTTTGTGTTTCCACGAATTGTTTGCTATCATCTGTATGCTAAAAATCCTTTTCGACGTTATGTTAACTAGACGCCATTTTTCATCAAGGATAAAATAACAAGTTTTCTGGCCATACTTCAAACCTTTTTGTAGTTGACTGATGATATCAACAATGATATCTGTGACTAGAATGAGAATATAAGTTTGAAGGATATGGAACTACGTGACCAATAGGATGTAACTGTAATAAAACTGTTCGTGTATTTAAATAGAATCCTTCAAACTATAGATAATACAATACAATACAATATAAACGTATGGAATTTTATTGAGAGTAAACGTCATTAGCATCTTCAGCGTTAAACAAATGCATACCAGTTTTAACTTGAAATTCATAAACAATCCGTTGCTAATAACTCGAAATGTCAAATTTGTCAGAGTGTGCACAGATTTGTTCTGAGACTATTATAACTGTATAATGGTCTAATAGATTCGCCACTAGACAGGAATTGACCGGATGATATAGGCACCGAGGTGTCAATGGTTGCGGCACAATGGCGCTACTTCCGGCGGCGGCCATAGCTGTCCGCTTTGTATTTAGGTTAGTCACCGCAATCTCCACTGTCATTTCAATATAATTAACATGTATGCTATATGCGCGTCTCGTATTTGCATAAAGTTTGCTCTCTGTGTCACGACAGTTACACAATGCGACGCTCATTCATTTGTCTTTTTAAAGAACATACCGAAGTCAATATAACTTCTTTAGACTGCCCATCTGTCGAATTACCATTAACTACGCCCATTGTTTTTTGTTTCAAGCTAGACAGAATTAAAACTGCATAATTAATTATTTGACTCAGTTTCATAATTGTATTTGGACAAAACATTTACAGTTTTACAAAGAGAATTGATTACAATATACGTAGTAAGTAAAATGTAATCATACATCATTTTTATTACATTACAAAGTTTCTACATCGAAATAGTTATAGGTATTATTATAAGACTCATAAATGATGTATATTTCTTTATAAAGTTAACGAAGTCTCCAGTCTTTCGTTAAATTTTTCATTTAATAAAATAAAATTAAATGTTATATCCTCAACTTAAAGGTCATACAGTAGATAAGACATGAGGTATATTACAGGTGCAGTGCTACAGGTTGTACTGTGTACGAAAGGGCGAGTTCAAACGATGCCTGAGTGCCACAATAAATGCAATGTATAATATGAAACGAGATATTATTAGGGGAAGAATGAAGGGTCGTAATGCAGGCACATTTTTAAGTTTGTTGGTTCCTAATAAAGTTTATATAATATTCAATCTTCTAAGACCTTTAAAATATTGTGACCACTAATAACTCATTGAAGAAAATAATATTTCGAAAAATACATTAATAATTTTAAAATTATTTTATTAGGATGTAACATCTGAAGTACCGATATTTTAAATCATATACTATCGTTATACAATTTTTTTTAAATGTCAATGAATTTAAATTACTTTAAATCAGAATATTTTGTTGCATCGTATATTTATTTTACTAGAAGGGACATATAAAACCTTGTTTAATTTCGTTTCTTATTATAATTATAATAATGGTTGCTTCCAAACATTCTTTCAGACAAATCGCTGACTTCTTTAATATTCACTGTAATGAATTTTGTTCATAATACAAAAGACATCAACGGGCTGCGTAAGAGATAAGACTTATAATATCTCTATTGTACCTACATAATTTTAGTTAACACCAGTTAATAAAATGATTAAACAGTATAATATCGGAATATTAATTTAAATATGACCTTCATTCGTTTAAAAAAACCGTTACGCGATAATGAATTCGCTTTTTAAATTTGTGACGCGAAACGAGGTTCTTTTTTTCCTTATACTTGTTAGGTGTATGACTATAAGTTAATCGAATCTTACATATACGTACTAGCATGCAGAGAAGATTTGTATAGTTCTCAATTACCTTTTTCAAACTAGCTATTTTTCCACGACCTTATCCAGGAAAATTATAGTCTATATCGCCCGCGTAAAATGTAGATTCCCGTTGGTGTAAGATTTCAGTAGTTTATGGACCTATTCGATGCAAGCATACGATTTACTAGATAAATTTCAAAGTTACTCAATCAATCACGATTCTTTCTTTTACTATTTATAACTAGCAGTAACTAGCTCATCCAAATACGTGTTGCTATGGCTCAATAACTGTATAGATAAATAACTATCTATATAGTTATTATATTAACCATCCTATCTCATAGTTAGTCCAAATTGTTTATACGTACGTGTGAAATTTTATTTAAATCGGTTTTTGAGGAGTTAGTCAACAACATACATCGAGACTTGACATTTATATATAGATAGATTTTATATATTATATCATCACTCGTCTCTCACTTGAGTAATGAATTCTGTTATTTGAATAACATTACGTATTCGAAAAAAATATATCCAATGAATACAGCAGGGATTTTATGAATGACAAACTGAAAATCTACGGGAACAAGAAACGGGTATGAATTGATTTTAAAAACGATGTTACATAATCGGTATTATTCTGGATGGTAACAAAAAATCTACTTATAGAGCAGGTAAAAAACGTAAGGAAAACGGTTTTTTGTTTTTATACATATACTATGTTGTTACAGTAAGTTCGAACTCGGGGAAAAAAGCTACCGATTCCGATCATAATCGAATGTTTTTACGGCTAAAATTTAGTCTTTTGAATAATAATAGTATAAATTAGATCATACATTCGGATAACGTGATATTGTGCATATATATGAGAATTTCCATGTATCAGTCGTGTGTCAGATGAAGGTATTCTCTTTAGTGTCAAGCAAAAGTTCCTTAGTTTGCTAGGTTTTTGGCTACAGAACAGATATACATAATTTTATGGACGCATGTAGACCTTAACATATCTCCTCATTTCTCATTTCTACGTCTATCAAGGAACCTTGTCGAATATGAATACCAAGAAAAAATTAATTGATCCAGTTAAGTACCATAAGTTTCCCTCATCAAGAGAACTTCTAAATATTCTTCAGTTAAGCTACTGCGAAAATATTTACTCTGATTTTCTCCTAACTATTCAGTGTTCTTCTTAGTAAGAATACTTACTGTATCTTTATAAACAACAAGCTGTTTCAGCGACTACGCAAACGTAAATTATAGCCTGTCACCCACGTATTATTAGATTTATGAAGGAATTTTTAAAATCGATCTAGTAGTTTGGGAGCCTAACCAATGCAAACAATCAATCAAACCTTAACTCTCGCTACATTGACAAGTTTTGCTAAAATAATCTTGAATAGAATCTTGAAATTGTCAAAGTATAAGACCAAAATTAAACTAAAAGATTTTTATAAATTTTCTAAAAAAAAAGCTCAGATAACACTTTTATTACAGAACAATCCAATATCATTTGTTATAATTTCATTCTTATATGTTTTCACCGTGAATATGAATACTATTTGTACTACTTTAAACTTGTATTAATGGAAAAATAATACGGCAAGCCTTATCGCACGTTTCTAATTGCGAACAGTAAAAATCTGCATCTTTATGAATAGCAAAAAAAACTATGTTTTTCACCATGTGGACCATTGTATTCTCGGCCATTGTACTTCTACCTTTTTAAAAAGACGGTCATAAAAATCAGATTACGCTTCAATAGTTATTGCTAAATCTCTTCGTGGAATTTGTTTTCGTTCAAGAACCACTAACGTTCAGAATGAACAATAGACACATTTGCAAATAATCCTTTACACTACTTATGGTATTTTTAGACTTACTATCACATATACTTAAATATCTGTAGCTAACGGACCCAACAAAAAACACAGTTTCAGGCTAATATTGATATAATATAGAGTCTGACAAAAAATACTTTAAAAAGATAATTTAAAAATAGATACTAAATAAAGTTAGTCGCCACAGTAGCCTCCAAGAATACACTATTTTTAGAAGGTGCAAATGAAATAAGTATAAGTATACTTATTTCCTATACTCGCAAAATGGTCGCTAAACTGTCAGCTCGCATAATGGTTTTAAACTTATTTATATAGTTATTGATAAAAGTTAAAAAGCTATCAATAACGTCTCAACACAAATATTTTTCATATAAACACTTATGTATTTTTGATAACCATCTACGTGTTGTCTATACCAATATTCTAAAGAAGAAAGATTCGATTGTTGTTTGATTGCATTGCATAGTCTCCAAAACTACTCGAACAATTTTCAAACTCTTTCGCCTACAGAAAGCTACATTCATCGCAGTTAACAAAGGTATAATTTACGCGGGCGAAGTCAGGGAAATCAGTACTAGCTGATTATCATTAAATATGATAAACTGATCTGATAACGAAAAAATAT